TTGAAATTTATTTACAAACAAATGTGGACTTTTAAGAAGTCTAAGGGGGATCTTTGAGATTTTAGCAGGGACCAACACAGTCCTCAGAGTGCTGTTCTGAGACCGCCGCCGGATTATGGTACACTTTTACCCTTTGGCCATTAACCTTGAAAATAGAATTATCTTCCGGGTTTACCAAATCCACTGCTCCATAAGGATAAACTTTAGAAATAAGAAAAGGCCCAGACCATCTAGACTTAAGTTTTCCAGGGAATAACTTCAGTCTAGAATTAAATAAAAGCACTTGTTGGCCTTCTCTCAATTCTCTGTGCTAGATTCTGTTATCATGCCATTTCTTTGTCTTTTCCTTATAAAGTTTGGCATTCTCATAAGACAACAACCTATGTTCATCCAGTTCACACAGTTGTAACTTCCTTTTCTTTCTGGCTTCATTCAAAGACCTATTGAGCTCTTTGATAGCCCAGTATGCTTTGTGCTCCAGTTCTAAAGGTAGATGACAGGCTTTTCCATAAACTAGCTTGTATGGGGACATACCTATTGGTGTTTTAAAAGTTGTTCTATATGCCCATAAAGCGTCGTCTAATTTAAATGCCCAATCCTTTCTATTAGGTTTTACAATTTTTTCCAAAATGCCTTTAATTTCTCTATTAGAGAGCTCAGCTAAGCCATTTGTTTATGGATGATAAGTCGTGACAATTCTCTGGTTAATATTATATTTTTCAAGAACTCCTTTCAACAAATTGTTCACAAAGTGGGTACCCTCGTCCCTGATTAGTGCCCTCGGAGTACCGAACCGTGTGAAAATTTGTTTTTGAAGGAACTTAACCACAATTTTTGCGTCATTTGACACACATGCCATGGCTTCTACCCACTTGGATACATAGTCAACAGCCACAAGAATGTACTGGCAATTATTTGATGGGGGGAAAGGACCTATAAAGTCTATTCCCCATACGTCAAATAATTCAACTTCAAGTATCCCATTTAATGGCATTTTATTTCTTTTGGAAATGGAGCCACTCCTTTGACATTCGTTGCACCTTTGTGCAAAATTATGGGAATCTTTAAAAATTGTTGGTCAATAGAAACCTGACTGTAGGACCTTGGTTGCAGTCCTTTGGCCTCCAAAATGGCCCCCATATGGTGCATGATGGCAATGATGCAGGATTGCTGCTACTTCAGATTCAGGCACGCATCTTCTCAGAATCTGATCTGCACCAAGTCTAAATAGAAACGGGTCATCCCACAAATAAGATTTAGCATCATGAAAGAATTTCTTTAACATGCGGCCTGTGTAATCGGAGGGTTTTATTCCACAGGCCATGAAATTAGCTAAATCAACAAACCATGGTGTTTTAGGTTGGTCTATCATGAGGATTCTTTCATCTGGAAAAGTATCATTAATGTCCATTCCCTCTCTCTCAGGTTCTTCTAACCTAGATAAATGGTATGCCACTTGATTCTCTATTCCCTTCCTATCAAGTATCTCTAAGTTAAATTCTTGCAACAAAAGCACCCATCTTATTAACATCGGTTTTGCATCTTTCATTGAGATCAGGTACTTGATGGCTGCATGATCAGTATGCACAATTACCTTTGTTCCCATCAAATAGGACCTAAACCTCTCAAAAGCAAAAACTATGGCCAATAATTCTTTCTCAGTTGTGGTGTAATTGATTTGTGTTTCATTCAAAATCTTACTTGCGTAGTAGATTGAATGAAACACATTCTCCTTCCTTTGCCCTAACACAGCACCTACCGCCCAATCACTTGCGTCACACATGATCTCAAAAGGTTTGTTCCAGTCGGGGGCAACTACCACTGGTGCAGTAACCAAAGCTTTCTTCAAAGTTTTAAATGCATTTCTGCACTCATCGTTAAAATTGAATTTTTGGTCATGTTATAGGAGTAGACAGAGAGCTTTTGAAACTTTTGAAAAATCTTTTATGAACCACCTATAAAATCCGGCATAACCAAGAAAGCTTCTGATTCCCTTAACAGTGGTGGGCTCGGGTAGTTTTTCAATTACTTCCAGTTTTGCCTTATCTACCTCAACCCCTCGTTTAGAAACCAAATGCCCAAGAACAATATCTTCTTTGACCATGAAGTGACATTATTCCCAATTGAGAACCAAGTCTGTTTCCTCACACCTTTCTAAGCTCTTTTTCAAATTATTTAAACAATTGTCAAATGATGAGCCATATACAGAAAAGTCATCCATAAATATTTCAATGGATTTTTCAAGCATATCAGAAAATATGGACATCATACATCTTTGAAAGGTGGYAGGAGCATTACATAGTCCAAATGACATTCTTCTAAAAGCAAAGGTGCCATAAGGACATGTAAAGGTAGTCTTTTCCTGGTCCTCGGGAGAAATGGCTATTTGATTGTACCCTGAATACCCATCTAAGAAACAATAGTACTCTTTTCCGGCTAATCTGTCTAACATTTGGTCAATGAAAGGTAGTGAAAAATAGTCCTTTTGGGTAGCCTTGTTTAGTCTCCTATAGTCTATGCATATTCTCCAACCTGAAACAACTCTGGTGGGGATAAGTTCATTTTTGTCATTGTTGATGACTGTGAACCCTCCTTTCTTGGGAACACACTGGACCGGACTAACCCAAGAACTACTGGCTATCGGAAAGATAACTCCAGCATCTAACCATTTCAAAATCTATTTCTTGACTACCTCTTTCATGACAGGGTTCATCCTTCTCTGAGGTTCTATGGACATGAAGTTTTTATCCTCTAAGATGATCTTGTGTTGACAAATAGAGGGACTAATCCCTTTCAGGTCAGCAATGGTCCATCCTAAGGCCTTCTTGTGTAATTTCAGCATATCCACAAGTTTCTTTTCTTGATGCAATTCTAGGGTAGATGAGATAATGACAGGCAATTTTCCTTCTTCTCCTAGAAAAGCATATTTCAAGTGGGATGGGAGTTGCTTTAACTCCAACTCAGGTGATGATTCTATGGATGGGGTGAAGTCTTTTTGCTCATTATTTTCAAGCAGCTCAAATGCTGCAGCATCCACTGGGACAACATCAGTTCCTATTTCCTCTATTTCCTCATCATACTCTTCTTCCAACTTAAGGTTTCTTTGAATTCCTTCTTCCAAACATACCTCCTCTATCTCAGTTATTCTTGAACACTCTTCCAAGTAATCAGGGTACTTCAGAGAGTTGAAGATATTAAAGGTGACTTTTTGGTCCTGGAGTCTCATGGTTAACTCTCTTCTCTGGACATCAATCAGGGTTCTTCCAATGGCTAAGAAAGGTCTTCCTAAAATAATTGGAATGTCCTTATCGGCCTCAAAATCTAGTATGATAAAGTCCGCCGGAAATATGAATTTGTCAACCTGCACCAAAACATCTTCAATTTTCCCTTTAGGATATGCTATGGACTTGTTGGCCAATTGGAGTGTGACAGTGGTGGGTCTAGTCTCTCCTATGCCTAAGGTGTTAAAGACAGACAAAGGCATGAGGTTAATACTAGCTTCTAGGTCACATAGGGCTTTCCCTATCTCCTTCCCTCCTATTGAACAAGGAATGGTAAAACTCCCTAGATCTTTTAGCTTATGGGGTATGCTATTGGTCAGAAGTGTACTACATCCTTCAGTTAGGGCTACTGTCTCATATTCAGTCAACTTCTTCTTCTTGCTTAAGATATCCTTCAAAAACATAGCATAACTAGGCATTTGCTCAATTGCTTCAACAAGGGGTATGTTGATGTGCAATTCTTTAAACACATCCAAGAACTTTTTAAAATGCAATTCCTCTTTCTGATTCCTCAACCTTTGGGGGTAAGGAACATAAGGAGGGACTGGTTTTATCACATTCTTGCTTGGAGGTGTTGAGCAAGATGGGTCTTGAATTCCCCGAGTCTTTGTGGTGCTCTTTAGTGGTTCTGGTGGAATCTTATTATCAAGCTTAGGGATTTCTACAACCTCAGTCCCTTCTAACTTCTTCAGAATCTCTTCTGAAAAAAGTAACGGGAAGTCTGATCTAGGGGGAACAAGAGTAGTGGTTTCAGATGTTTGTTTTTCCAAAAGTGGGACCGGTCCTTCTTTGAGAGGGACCGACACTAGATCACTAGGTTCTGACAGTCTTGGTGTATTATCTTTTCTGCATTTTTCTGTCAACTCCTTTCCACTCCTAAGAGTCACTACTTTCACATGTTCCTTTCCTAGGTCTCTAGGGACTTCTGTATTACTGGGCAAGGTTCCAAGGGCTCAACTATTCTGGTTAAGTGCAAGTTGACTGACTTGAGTCTCTAAATTCCTGATGGCAGCATTTTGTTGATTAATCAAAGCTTGATTTTGGGCTTGAGACTGTGCTAAAAGCCCTTTAATCATTGCTTCCAAAGAAGATGATGATTCTGCCTGTGGAGGAGGTTTGTTCAGAAAATGTGGCTGAGATTTTTGAAAACTTTGTTGGTGGTTCTGAGAGTTACAACTGTTTGCATGATGCTGTGGTTGGAAATTAGAATTTCCTTGTTGCTTATGGACTGGTGGATTAAGGCTGGGACTGGTCCAAGAAAAGTTCGGGTGCTGTCTCCAACTGGCATTATATGAGTTAGAGTAGGGATTAGATCTGTTTTGAACATAATTTACTAATTCAGAATTATGAGTACAATGTTCATATGAATGATCCCCACCACAGCACACACATTGAACAAATAGGACTGTTGGAACAGATGTGTGAGTAGCTTGCTGTACTCCTTGACCAGAAGTTAAATTTTTCAATAAATTGGTCATGGAGGTRAGCTGAGCTGTTAATGCAGTATATGCATCCACCTCATGTATTCCAGCAGTCTTTTTCTATGGCTGGGCACGTGAGTCTACCCAATGCCCATTGTTTGCTGATATCTTTTCTAGGATCTCATATCCTTCATTATAGGTACTGGCTGTAAAGGCTCCGCCTGTAGTCGCCTCGAGCATTTATTTTGCCATGGGACTTAACTCATTGTAAAACGTCTCAAGTTGAATACAGTACGGAATGCCATGGTGCGGACATTTCCTCAACAGCTACTTAAACCTTTCCCACGTGTCAGGAATAACTTCATCATCCAGTTGTTTAAAAAGACAGCTTTCGTTTCTGGACTTAGCGTCCTTGTTGGTGGAAAATATTTTGCAAAATTTTTTCTGCCATGTTACTCCATGACGGCACAAATCCTGTTGTTAAAGAATTAAACCATGCTTTTGCCCGATCCCGTAATGAAAATGGAAATAAAGTAAGTCTGAGAGCGTCATTTGACACTCCCGGGATCAGGAAGGCATCTGTGATTTCCATAAAAGACTTCAAATGAGAATGTGGGTCCTCTGAGAGCAGTCCAGCAAATTGACCATTAGTCTGTAACATGTGAAACATTATTGGTTTTAGCTTGAAATGAAGAGCGGTCATATGTGGTCTAATTATCCCAGAATTTAATTGCTTAAAATCCGGGATAGCATAATCCATGATCCGTCCATTTTTGGAATTTGCCAGATTAATGATATTCGGAGTTTGTGCCCTTTGCTGCTCATTAGGGTCCGATTCTGTATCCAAATTATTATCATTATCATGATGTGGGTTTCCTTGGTGAAAAATTGGGAACGGTGGTATTTGCCCAAAAATTGGCGGTTGGTTTTCCAAATGTGGTACTTCCGGAATGTTGGGAGCAGGTAACTCCATGTTGGGAGGGAGTAGAGCCTGAAATGCTCTCTGAGCCCTCATTCTATGGTGAAATGTTCTCTCATTGTCTGAATCAAATTCAAAAAATTCCCCACGATGTGTTCTTGGCATACACCACTTTTCAAAAACAGGTACTAGAAAAATCAAATCTTTTACTTTACTCAAAAAGAAAACTTTAAGCTTGCCTATCCTCGGCAACGGCGCCAAAAACTTGGTCGGTCAAATCCTTTACCTTTAGATTTAATGAAATTGGGCCACAAAGCAAGTATACAATACAGCCCAACGTCGTCTTTCCAAGTAATAAAGTGGTATAAGTACCGGAATATCGTCCACAGGGATTGGAACAAAAGTTAAATAAGAGTCCAACAAAAGAAAAGATTTCAGATGACGAAAACGAAGACTTTAGTTTGATTCTGAGTTAACACAGGTAATATAACAGAATAATAAAGTGGAATAATAAAGCAGAGTAATAAAGCAGAATAA